ATCTTTTACATTAACATCTATGGTATTTGACTTTAATAATTCTACAAGTTCTGCGGACTTGTTCGTCTTGGAAAAATAAAATATATCTTGCCTGCTATGCAATAACAATTGCAGCGCTATATATCAGTTCGACAGCTATTGATCCATAATTTGCCAGAACGAAACTACTCACTCTGATTCGTCGTCGTCTTCCTCTTCATCTGATGCACAAGCTAGTGTAGAAACAGCAACTCCTCCGATCCTTAGCCGTTCTTTAGGTTCCTATGATGTTGACATAATTTAGTTAACAGTCATGGTTACGATTAAACAAGCCTGTGTCAGCGGACGTTATCCTAATCGAAAAATAGTCCCACTTTGAGTTCGAGTACCTCATTGTTGACTTCGTCTGGCCCTACTTTCCAATTAACATCCCATCCGACATTTAAAGACTCGAGCAGTTCTATATATTTCCTCATTGCTTCTTCTTTGTCCAATGCATCAACTGCTTTCCATGCGTTCCATTTTTCTCGTCCTACAAAGTCAAACAGAGAAGGCTTGGCGGCAGTGCATTTGCCTATTGTGGCGGCCTTATAATATCCATAAAACTAGAACCAAAAATTTTTAAAGGCATTATACGTTAATAAAGATTTCGGTAAAATATTCTCGACGACTACAAAAACCAGAAACGTTGAATGAGGTCGAGCGTCTATTATGTAATGGATCAAACTACTTCTTAGTCAATCGCACGTCCTGATCTTACCTTGAGTTTTATTGTATCAGTTAATGCTGATGATGACTGTCTAAGGAATTTGTAGGCGGATTCAAAATTCTTTGCAAGTTGGTCATCTGCAGACATTGCAAAGCTTGGATTATAGGCATATAACTTCTTGTCAAACAATTATCATCACACGGGAATGTCACGAGAACATTTTAATTTGCCTAAAAGGGATTAGATATTATTTACGTTGGGATGCAAAGTGTCCAATTTATGAGTGGTATCTGCACATCTTACGGCACGTTGTCATGAATTTCATATAATTAATTATCTTCTGACGCAAATGTCAATAGATTTTATTAAACTTCTCGACAAGACCACCAAATGATAAAACAAACCACCTCGATTTATCGAATGGAATGCTGATTAAAAATAAATTCATGTCGCGTAACAAAATTTCCAACGGAAGAATCATTAACTTGAGTTTACTGTACAAGTTTTGGTATTAAAGCCTATACTGGGACAATTGATGCGCAAGCATATCTGGTAGCTGTCATATCAAATTAATTAGTATTAGCGTTATTCATTATAAATAACGTGCCACCTTAGTTGCGTCTAATAAAGCATTACAAATAC